TCTTTTTTTTATTCTTGTAATACTAAATACAGTGTGCTTAGTGCCGAAGCTATACAAAACTAAGTGTAGTGATTTTGGTTTTACATTATTAGGATCAAACTCGCATCATACTTCATTCGCGGCAAGAACGCTACGTCTATAACTTTGACGCTTCTGTCATTCTTGAGTTACAGCGGTTCAATTATTTATATCTAGAGGCTCACCTGTTATCTTTAGTGCAACGTAATGCTCCATTATTCCCTGTCCATTGCTACTCTTAGAACATACGTAAACTCCATCGTTTTTTCAACGATACATTTTGTATTTGAAGATTATAGTCACCTTCTTTTATATTACCAACAATTGCAAGGTTTTGAATATTAGGTGAGATAACATTAAGCTCCTGTCCGTCTGAATATAGGATGACACTTTTGTCTGTTTGAGTGAATTTTATTTTGTCCCATGTTGACTTACTGTTTGAAAGCACTTTGCATTTCAAAATTACAATATCACCTTCCGATGCATATACAGTGACATTATGAGTGTATACTGCTGTAATTTAAAATGAATAATTGAGTTTATCACAATGAATAATCTGTGCAAACTCATTACTGTAGATTTTGTAGATATAATAAAAGGGACTAAACAGTCTTTGTGTATGTGTTTTATATTACACGTTATATTCTAGGGTTTACACCTGAATCTTTCAATCGAAAAAAATAAAGATTTCCTGAAGAAGGGATCAATACCCTATCAAGGCACAACCAGTTGATTGTATCGGTGGATGTGTTGCGACCTTGGAATGTAATCATCTTTTTTTTAATTTTCTCAACTGTCAATACGAATAATGACAGTGTACATTTAAAGCAGTGCCGATATTGAAAACAACTAATTCCGTCTTCATGTAACGCTAAGCTTTCACATTATAATTAGGCTATTACATTTTAAAGGTGGGTAGTTTTTAAAACAAATAAATGTATATAAATTAAATATAGATAAGAATAAACAATAGATGTATATAATATAAATATAAATAAGTTTAAACAATAGATGTATATAATATAAATATCAATAAGTTTAAACAATAGATGTATATAATATAAATATAAATAAGTTTAAACAATAGATGTATATAATATGAATTTAAATAAGAAAGTGCATCTGATTGTAGGTTAGGTTCGTGTTACTTAGTCGTTAGTTTTCAATGTTGTGTTTTGTATACTGTTGATTGTCTGTTAAGTATTTTATTTTGTTTTTGGGTTGTTTTTTTGTCCATTCATTTTTAGACTATTGGGATTGAAAATCGTGCAGCACTCTTCTTTGAATGTTTTTAAGTTTGATCCAGAGTGGCACTAAATTTTCTTCTTATTGGAAATCATGCAATTTCACGACAACTTGGCATAAACAAATGACAGGTTAGTTTTAGATGTACGCCCACTGACTGATAAAAAACAGTAATGCATATTATTGAAAGGACGCTTGTTCTGAAAGATGTATCTTCTAAATTATGCAATGGTTTAAGAAAACTACACGTTTTGATTTTAAATTCAAATTAATTTCAATCATCCGATTTAGGAACAATAGTTATCACGATTGGTTTACTATTATCAATACTTCACATGTCAGATGGTTACCTGCAAATTGGGCATGCAATAATTTGTCTTGAACTAGCTTTTGTCAGTTTTGATACGTTTTCTTATAGCTAAAATGTACGTCTTGGTGTTTATCAAAGTCTTTGATTCAGTAAAAATTAATATCCATATGATATCGTCAGTAATATCCTTTTTTTCAAAATCTTAGAAGTAAGAAATTGAGCGTAGTGTCAATTTTACAGAAATGTATTGGCCTTATTTTAGAATATTCCTAGATGCAGTAAAAGTATGCCTTTTAGTTGGACAAAAATAAATTATTGCATACATCACTGTTCTAAAGTTATTTGAAGTAAATATAATTTACACTCGGCAATTGCATGAATTGTAAAGTGCAAATCATTTCTTAACATATCTTTTATAACATTTTTTTTGGCATGATGTTTTTTGTTTAATTTCAATAAAAAATAAATCTAGTTTTTTCTAATTCGTTGTTTTACACAAAAAAAACCCAAATGAAATTAAGGTAATTTATGTTACACGTATACTTATAATGTTAATCCATGAGCTCAATTAATAAACAGAAGTAAATCAGAATATAATTATAAGTTGCATTACAATGCTTTTTGGTTAAATTTCTATACATTGCTCAAATAGACAAAAACGCACGATACTGTTTAGTTAGTGACTGCGCCTGTTTTCCTCATTTTTTTTTCATGTTTTAAAAGTTTATCGTTATGTAGTACTTAAACTGTGTTTTGAATTAATATTCATTATTTAAAAAAAAATGTTTCGTTTACTTACACAGAACGTGCTTCACACTTCTTAACACTAAGCACATCCAAAATATACACATTTTCATACCTAGAAAAGAAAACAAATAACCATTAAAATTCTAAATATGATCTATAAAATAAAACTAGTACATAAGCTGGACCATGGGCATCTGTATCATATTCTACACATGTTCTAAGTCAAAACATATTCATGTAAATGATGACGAACATGATGAATGAGGGAAGAACATATTGATAATTTTTATAACATTGTATAACAAATAATGGATAAAGGTTTATTTAAACAAAAAAATAGACATACCTTCTCATAAAGTATAACTTCCTGACATTATACTGTTATATTAAACTAGAGGAACGTTTGAAAGTCATAAGACGGATATATTAATACTTCAAAAGGGAAATCATAATGACATACAAATCAATAGTAGATAAATACAATAGAAAATCTATCTTATATCTATCGTTGGTTTTTCATTGTCTTAAGCGGAGTTATTTTATACCAGCCGTGCGTATCCTATTCAAGACGAAAAAGTGCCAGATTAAAAAGCAGAGGAGATACATAGACAGAATTCAAAATTGATGAGTCGAAAAGATTACGAGCAAGTATGGATAAAGTTACATAATGATAGCACACAACATGCTACACAACACAATATACCAAAACTCTGGAAGGGTCATCAGTTCCTGCACCAGATGTAATACCCGGAATGTCATGTTAATGTAACACATTACTTGTGAAACAAATGCTTATTGATAAATTTTCGTCTTTATTTTAAACCAATCTACATAAAACTATTAGGAAATGTGAATCATATTATTCAAAAAACAAAAGGGAATCGCAATATACCAAGATGATCTTTAAAACTTAAGTCAAAAAACGCACTGACATGAACCCAATCAAAAACTGGAAAAGATCACAAGTACTCTGGTTTGGTAAGAAGACCCTGCTCTACATGGGATATCAGTCGTGTTGCTCTTTTAAGTTCAAATCTGTGTATAACTCTTTAACGATCGATCCCGTTCTTGGCAAACAAGAATTCATTCTGTTCACGGCAATAGAAACATTCTCCTATAGGTTGCACTTTGTCAATACAGCTGTTTCTTAAACCACGCCTCTTTTTGGGAGATATATATACTATTCATAGATAATTTGATTTGGTGACGTACTGGTTCCCAGATATGATATCTATGTTTCATCTCATAGAGACCTAACTTGAGACTGTTACCAGTATAAAAACATAGTATTGCGGGAAAAATGAATTCTAAAGTTGGCAAAAAGTAAAGGTAGGGATAGTACATGATTTTAGTATAAGTTTAAACTCTAACAAGTTCAGGGCATATAAATGTTGAAAATATGCCGCTCAGCCCTATGGTTTGACTTTTGAATAAAATAGTAGTGCATATCAACTTTAAATTCTAGGATATAATTTTTCACGGAACTTCATAGTAAAAGTGTCTTAGACGCAAAGGGAGTTCCTATGGAAAATTGCATTGTCTATATTTAGAGAAATGCAATCTATACACGATGTGTCTGCCCAGGCAGGAGTCTTTGATGCAGTCGTTGTTGTATGATACTTAGTTGTTGTTGTCTTTAAACTAGCTGTCAAAGGTTACGAGTACTCTGAGATCTGTTCTTAGTGTCTTTTTGTTGTTGATATGTTCAAGTTCCAGTCAACGTCCACTCCATTTCTTTTGTTAGATATAGTTCTATGTTTATCTTCTGATGAGTTAAGCCTTTTGTAACTGATTTTTTTTAGTGTGTCCTTATGTTGTACTTTTACACCACTGTCCCAGGATAGGGCGAGGGTTGCCGCCTTCAAAGCTCGTATTACTTGTCTAAATAAGGCTTTAATGTATACTAGTTTTGTTTTTATCATCTCGGTTAGAGGTTTTAAAACGTTATGAATCACTGGTAAGCATTTTCTTTGATTGGGAAAGCTCTAAATTCTTTATTACTCGTATTTATGTAGTTGAAATTACAGTCTGGATGTTGAAGATATGCTGATATGAAAACTGTTGCTATGGTCTTGATATTATATTAACTGCTTATTTAATGATCTTTTCGACTAGAAATCTTAAGTTGGACCCTGTTAATGACATCATAATACGTGTGATTTCATAATGTTTACCGAAAAACCCTAATGTGCATTTCTGACTGATTAAGGGTCTCAACTGAAATGCATCATTTGTTTTATAAATAGAATTTTGTGATAGGACACATTTTTGAAACGTGTACTTCAATGTAATTTAATCATATGATAAATAAGACTTTAACAGCAGTTTAGAGTGGTTTCTTAAGTTGAAATTACAGATTTCCAGTGGTAAACATTATTAAGTGTTTTTCAGGGGTTTTGATGAAATCTACGTTTTTGCATAATTTATCAGTAAAATTCACTCTTAGACATGAGACAATTTTATTAAATGTTTTAACAGGGTTTGTATGTTGTACATGAAGGTTATCATCAGATGTTTTATCCATAGTTTTACTTGTGAAGGTATACTTGAAGAAATCAACGTTACTTACATCTTGTATTCAGAATTATTAGATATAGCGATAAAAGGGTAATTTAATTTCTTTCAACAATACACAGATTTATTCAGAAAGTCCATACAAGAATGTTTGGAATGAGCAGAATATAAATTATATAACTTATACTTAAGTATAGAAAATATATATAATAAATTTTTGTATTCATCTAATCCTTTCTCTTGTATATAACAAGCCAGTGAATTATTGGGCTATTCATTGCAACGTGTTTTGGCGTTTTTTGCAACACACTTGACGGGAATATCATTGTGTTTTGATAATTGTCATTGGTGATACTACTATACTGATGCATATCGATATCGCAAAGATCAATCGTCTGATAAGGATTTTCATAACCATCACCATATTGATTTAGAGAAGAGCTGTCATTGGAACTTACGACATCAGCCCTTAAAACCATGTCTGAGATACTGTCAATATTCACTTCCGCATTGTTGTTTATTTGTGCAAAACTATCATTGTTATAATCTAAAATTTCTATTTCACGATCATTGACCTGTGCTGAGATGTTAAGCATCCGATTGGATTTTTTTGAACGCTTCAATGAGCAGTATATATGTAAGGCAATGCAGAATATTACACTTCCTCCAAGTATACTGCCCATGATTGCCCAACAATCACCATATTTGTGTGTAGGATTATATTCTTCGTACTCTGAAAATGATAAAAAAATAATATATTTAAAGTAAAAATTTGTTTTCAATAACATAATACTATATTCATGATAATGTTGCAATTTTACTTTATATTATGCTGCTTTAATTTTAATAAGATGTGAAAAAAGGTTTTCAAAACTCTATCCAAAACTGAAATTATTCTTTTCTAATTGAAATACATATTTACTATAGGACACAGTAATATACTAACGGTTTAAAATAAAATGTTGAAACTCATTTGGACAAATTTCTCCTTTAACTTGACCCCATGCACATCGAATATATTTAAACCTTGTCGTGTAATGTTTAAATGAAAAAACCTCTTCTATAGTCATGTATATGTTAAAACATAATATATATAAGTTAAATATTTTACATCGGGATGTTAGTTAAATATTTGTTGGTGGATTTTTCAACAAGTTATAGCATTTTTAAATAATGTAGATAAACAAACTATCCATTTGTTTAGAGATATACTGATGTATGTCGTTCACCACGTTTACTGATACACATATTCATTCTAAAGAGACCATTTAGCTGCTTTAAAACTTTACTAATATATATTCAAGTTTATCTGCAGAGTTTAAAAACAGTCGGATAACGCTTTACTAAATTCTGAAGAACACTCAGTTGACAAGGAGGGTTCTGTGAATTCTGTGTATGATTTTTTAACACGTTATAGTAAAATGGCTCAGTAGGAAAACACAACTGCTGCTTTGTTCTTGAATCCTTAAATATTGAAAGAGATTCGACACTGCATCATTTTTGCAATCAATAATTATTTGGTAGAATATTAACCTTTTAATGCAACCACGAAACATTAAAAAATGATGAAGAAAGAGACCACCAAAGTTGCAACATACCTGTTACTATGATCTGAACAATGAATTCATTACATCCTTCCTTGTTACAAGCTTTAATTGTGTAGTTAGTAAAATCGTTTTCTTTATCCAATATCATCTGGAAGGTTACTTGTATACCGGTTACGGTTACATTTACATTGTGGAACAGTTCACGTGTAAGAATTCGATGCTGTCTCGCAGGTATATTCAAAGACTCATTTAGTTTTGAAATATATGCTTGTATCCAGCCGAACTTATTGTACACAATTACTGTCAAATTAATCGTCTGACCGAACCGTCCATCCTGTACTTCATTGTTTGAATTCACAAATATTGGCGGGACTAAAATAAAAAAACTGTTATAGACATTTGTTGATAGATGATATTGTCTTAATGTTTCTTTTCAATGTCCAAATACATTTCTTGATAATTGATTGATATGTATATCAAATTCTTGTCATGTGAATGTTATGTGTTTGTTGCTTTTTCACAATATTCTGATGTTTTTTTTTTTTCATGTTTTTAAAGACTTTAATCAATATTGTTTTACGGGTCGTAAGGTTGTTATTTCTTTTAAGTAAAAAAAAAGAAAAAGTTTGTTTATCCATACAGTATAGCTCAAAACTTGAATCTATTCGTTACCTTATGATCGATTTAATTTTGTTTTATTTCTATTTCAATCTATCGCGCGAAGAGCATGTCAAAACAATATAATGTTAGGTATGTTTTTAAAATTATTATTTTTTGTGAGTATTTGAAAATTTTAAAAAAGGGCATAGAAATATCTTTTAAACGTGTTAAAGGAAGTAGAGTAATTGTTACATATACCCAATTTTGTTAAAACGTCTGTGCTTTATCTAAATTATTTGAACTTTAACTAAGAAGAAAATAGTTGTAAGCATTAGGTCAGATAAAATAAAATGGACATTGTCCCTGATACATGTTTTCTATAAATACATAACAATACTCATTGGACTTGACAAATCAATAGCATTAACCAATTATTGTTTTCCTCAAAAATGATTAACTCGCCACAATTGCATAAGTTGAATAATACACGCCATCCCGAGATGGTTGATCGTTTTTGAATTTCCGTTTCACAAATGATATCAGATTTGTTTGTAATGTATTAACTGCAAACCCGTCCACCTTTCACGATATTTGTGATAAACCGAATTATACTTATTACAAGGTTTTTACTAACATGAGCAACACGACGGAAGCCAAATGTGGAGCTGTATCTGCTTACCCTTCCGAAGCACCTGAGATCACCGTTAGTTTTTGATGGGGTTTGTGTTACTTAGTCTTTAGTTTTCTATGTTGTGTTGTGTGTACTATTGTTTGTCTGTTTGTCTGTTTGTCTGTTTGGTCTTTTTCTTTTTGAGCCATAGCGTTGTCAGTTTGTTTTCTAATTGTGAATTTGAGTGTCCCTCTGGTATCTTTCGCCTCTCTTCTACATATGGGGCTGGATCCGGACCACATACGATCACATAATATCGCCCTAGGTTTCTTTAGGAGTTGGTGTTGCTCAGTCTTTAGGTTTCTATGTTACTGTTCGTATACTGTTGTCTTTTGGTCGTTTATCGTTTTAAAGCCATGGCATTGCCAGTTTACTTTAGACTATATCATTTTTCGCCTCTCTGTTGTACTATACAGATATAAAAAATACAATTATACCAATAAATAAGTATAGTTTGACCTTAAGTGGTTATTTCACCTTTATCGTTGATGAGAATAGATCCTTTCTGTGTTAACCATCTATTTGCTCCAACCAGACCATTCGTTGTTTGACACGTATAAATACCATCATTTTCGTGCGACCTATTTTTACTCTTTGATTTTGAAATAGTCAATTTACTGTCATTTAATCCATTAGAACTCCGAATATATTCGTTAAATTCAGAACGGTGCTCCCAATAGGTAATAGTGTAGTTATCAGGCTCTCCTCCTCTTAATTTACAATCAATCGTTATTGTGTGCTCAAAATACGTATATGTTATTTCCATAACCAGAGGATCTATAAAACAAATCGTAGATTATAGTCAATGGAAGCACCATCCTGAGATGAATACCATAAAAAATAATAATAACCAATACTAGTAATGTTTGTCAACAGTAACTGGTTTCTATTGTACAATGTTGTATATCAGGAGATTGTTTATATATTGTCGGCGCACCCGATCTCACTTACTTTGGAGTTCATTTCATTTCCTCAGGTTTGGTGTTACGTTGCATTGTATATCGGAATGGATTTATGAGAAAAGAACATCGGAACATTAATGCCAAATTTAATTCACAAAGATAATTTGGTTCTAATCGGTTCCAGAGCCGAAGTTCTTCAGATTCATCATAAACTTGCCAAACTGACGAAAGAAATAAGATTGTTCGGGAGATACTGTTCTCGATAAGGACATTGTAAACTCAAGACTCAAATATCAACGTTTTCACAATACTCTATGATCATTATATATATTTACAGAACACTCTATATGAAACTAAAGAGTTAGAAACATGAACCTAACCGAATTCGGAGGGAAATCCAATCGCAAAATAAAGATGATTTGGTCTAATACGAAGGGAGACCTTGAACTTTACCTTTGGAAACCTTGGTTGGAAACGCAAACGCAGGAATATCGTATTGATATGGATACGCAGTACAAATATTAGCGCAGTCGGCAGGCTGCTGCATAAACATCTGAATTGTAACATAAAGATTAGGACATCTTGCTCTCAACCTACGCTAATTGTCAATTTCTAAATGTTAGTAAGACTAAATGTATATGAGGTATCCTGTATTTTCAAGTTTAAGAGGATAGATGCATTCAATATAATTATCAAAATTTTAATTATTTATTAAGAAAAAATCAGCTACATGTATATTAGATGAAAGTGAATTAAAATTAAGATAATAGTCACTTGTCATTCTTCTTGAGAAGCGTCTGTATGAAGTCGGCATAATATAACAGATTTGACCTAATCCCAATTATATTTCAATATATGAAGTAACCTTTTTTTCATTATTTGCAAACATACTTAAGCTTTAACAAAAACAACTGTTTCACTACGGTGTAGTCCTTATTATTCTTGATATACCAATCATCATCAACTATGTGGGTAAAGGTGAACCCCGGTTTTAAATGTTCAACGAAGTACAAATTTTCTGAGGGCTTGAATGCAGACTTTGGTAAAACCACAAGTGTTGCTCAATCGATAAAAAATGGTACCCTCAAAGATAAATGTATCCACAGTATATAAAGCAAGACGGCTAAGAATTTGATCTAATACAGTGCTGTAAATCGATCGAGTTGTTAGTGCTGAATAGAGCCTATCCTTTATGTCTTTGCAATGCAAAATCTATACTCTATAAACAAAATACTCACTTTTTATTTGCACATGGTAGGTATCTATATAGATATTTCCATTTTCCCAATATTCACATTTGTAGGTTCCTTCATCATAATCCGAAAAATGTCTTATAATAAGATTACATTCACCACTTTTGTAATTACCAACGATATCAATGTTTGAGTTTTTCAGTTTAGGATTGAGTAAAAGTCCTTCCGTATAAGGTATGTAACTTTCATCTAATTCATCTGTTTCTCTTGGTTTTTTCACAACTAGCCAGGAACTTTCGATCTTATTAAAACATGTGCAGTTTAGGATTACAGTTTTATTTCTGCCAACGAAAACTCTTCTGTCGGTGGAAAACATCTGTTGTCCTTTGATTTAAATGTAAAAAAAATAGTATTATTAGAAACCCAAACATGCTGCAATTGTTAGGTAAAACATTTTAAAAAATATTTTAATTTTGATGTTTTATTTAAGCATTTTATGAAATCTTTCTATCATTAATAACATAAACGGTACCAATTTGGGTGCATTTGGACAAATAATGTCTTTTCTGCTATCAGATTACTGGTTATTGGGCTGGTGATACTCTTAGGAACTAATAGTCCTCCTGTATCGAACTAGTGGTAGTAATAACATAAAAGGTACCATTTGTGATGTACCAGATACGTCTTTCGAAATAAATGTATCTTTAGTGATGCTCAAGTACAAAATAAATAGGAATGTCGAAACTCTGATACATGTAAATATAGAACAGAGGATCAAACAAAAAAGTACCTTAAATATTGGTACACATTATGTATGATAAAGGAAACCACGATTCAAAATAATTGTATCATTCTCCATTAAAATACTTGTTGTTATTAAAACTGAGTAAATTAAGTTGGCTTTCTATACATCATAATTTTCTCAGAACTGATGAACATATAAAGATCATTATGTGTTAAATTTTTGCGCATAACTGCACATCCGCATAAAGGTTCAATCTAAAAGGATCTGCCATCTCGTCAAACATCGACTACAATATGTATCAGAAAGATAACAGTTACATTAGTCATGACAAAAATATAACAAAAATATTGTGTCTCTAAACATGCTAGACGAATATGTTGGTAATTTAGGCAGGAGTTAATTTTCGTCTACTTAAAGATTGCCATCATTTATCTATTATTTTATATACACAAACAGATTTTTTTTTGATTACATTTTGTTTTATTCTGTGAAAACATAGATATAGGCAAAGAAGCCTAATGTTCGGTGGTTGTCGTTTGTTGGTGTGTTTCATATGTGTTTCTCGTTTCTCGTTTTTATATAGATAAGGCTGTTGGTTTACCTGTTTGAATTGTTTTACACTAGTCATTGTGGGACCCTTTATAGCTTGCTGTTCGATGAGTTCATGCTCCGTGTTGAAGGCCGTACTTTGACCTATACGTGTTAATTGTTTATACATTGTGACTTGCATGGAGAGTTGTCTCATTGGCAGTCATACATGTACCACATCTTCTTATTTATAAAGAACATATTTCTGGTATTTAAATCCAATCACAAGGATATACCATTAATTGATTGATTGATTGTTAGTGTTTTAACGCCTCTTTTGAGCTATTTCGTGGCGGTAAGTTTGTATGGATGGAGGAAGCCGGAGTGCCCGGAAATAACCACCGACCTTCGATAGAAAAACTGACATTCCTAGTCAATTAAGATTGGAGTCGAGTGCACCCGCACGAGGGGGTTCGGACTCACAACCTCAATGTTGACTGACTAGTGATTACAGTAGTAAAACTACTTTTTTTTATAACTACTTGGGCCACTTGGCTACCGAGGCCCCTGTATATACCATTGATAGATCAGCCTATGTCCTTTTATAATTTCAAAGTACGCAATGGAACATTTTTGCAGTGCTTCAGAAACACTTTTTTATTTCGGACATAGTTGTATGTCCTTTTAGGTTAAACATGCCTTACCCAGTGAATAAAACACACATATCATCAATAACTTGAAAACGCTAGTATAAAGCAACTTCAGAATGCTGCTGTAAATATCCATACCTATAAAAAAGTAAATAGTCATTACTAAACGGATATGTTTTGTGATTGCGGATAGTATTAATTAGACAGACTTTGAACAGCGTTTGTCTATATGTGTTTGGGCTTTTTCAAAGAGGTTATTAAAGGTAAGAGTTCTTAAGGTTTTGATATATCGAAAACGGACTATAACGGTTTGTATTCTGCATTCAAGATACAATTCAACCCAACCATGTTTGTCAAAATTTATGTCTTTGACCTTTTTTAAATAGTAGAGTGTTTGCACACACAAAATCGTGTGCTAATAGCATGCAAACATTTCTTTTTCATTTTTAATAACTGCATTTTTCGTTTTAATAGTAATAAGTACAATAAAAATGAAATTGAAAAAGTTGTAAGATATTTTGGGCAAGTTCTGAAATAAGGTCGTTGGAAACTTTAATTTTAAATGATAAATTATGCTCTCAAAATTGTAGTTTATATGTTTTTTAGTATGAACAATTGGTACAAAATCGAATATATAAAGTACAAGAATGTTAATTGAGGGAAAACATTATTTGACAGTTGAGCAGCATGAACCACTCTCAAAACTGAAGGTTAACCCGGTTGTTCCTGGTTTTTTCTCTTATTAAACAATAGCACTTATCTTAATTTTTCTCAAAATTTTTATTTGCTACAAATCACCGGAAACATCAGCAAGCCAAAGCCGTAAATGCTACATGTATCCGAGTACGACGGTTCTGAAATGGTTCTGTAACGTACATTGTACACTATAGTAGTTTTGACCTACGTTGGTATACATGTGTATATATAGAAACTGATGTATTAAGTTTCTTGGTATGTGCGTAGTATAATTGTTATACATTTGGTTTCTTTTCACCAATTGCACAATCAATATCACTATCTATCCAATTATATTGATTAATTGCATGTTTGATTGTTGGTTTTGAACGCCAGTTTCTGTACGATTGGCTATATCGTGGAGGTCAGTTTTTATTGATGGAGTATTACAAACCTGTTAGTGATACAGTGGATAAACTACCAAGACCAATCAGCCACCGAAGCCCCTTATCTAATTAGGTAGATAGTTACTGTATATCTTTTGAAATTAAACATATATAACATTCAACAATTGTCCAATATAATACATTTTCGATATTGACCGTTAAAATACATATCTTCAAAAATACATACGCTTTTATGAGTTCTTTGAATGGTTAATTGTATGTGCTTATATATAAGAAGATGTGGTATGAGTGCAATTGAGACAAATCTCAATCCAAGTCACAAGTTGTAAAAGTAAAAGCCTGTTCATCTTAATTTTTTTAATTTCATTATTTGTACCTCACAGTTGACCTTATGTATGTCTATGTAATTGCCACATTAATTTCTTTATCCTCAGTATATGAGAAAAAAATGTTACTATATTTTAAAAGTGGTCTTATTTTGTTTACAATTTGAGTTGAACAATATTCTAATAAGACCGATTTAATGAAGAAAAAATATTCACCCCAATGTTTAATGTATAATTCCCGATGCTGAAACCTATACTTATTCACATATAATGGTGTTGAAAAATACTAATCATTGTTTATTAAATTGTCAATAAAACTCGACAAATAGGGAAATTATCTTTAGATAACAAAACAAAAACAATTAAAAATTCTTATTTGTTAAAAATTAAACAAGTGGGTTCAAAAGTTCATATTTCCTGACGAATCGAAGTGAATATAGAGGGCAAGCAGCTTCATTGTATACTCCGCACAAATGTTTTTCAGTAAATGTTTATTTGTGGCTATGTTTAAAAGGGTGTAAATGGTATTCATTTGAAATGTTATTCATTCTAATACGTATGACGAAATTTTCCGAACGGGTTAGTGAAAGATAATTTGTCGTTCCTTATTGTCCACTTCTATTAAACAATTAAAATCGGAAATAAGTGTTTTGATCCATTTCATTAAATATAAGTGTTCCGTAACAGTAACAGAATACATTCATATAAAAACGTTATTTGTTGTTGGTAATATAAAAAAAAAAAAAAACAGTTTAAAGAATGGAAGAAAAAAATGCGAACATTATAATTTAAAAATGCTTAGTCAATGTCGTCGATTGTAGATTGCATTGTAAATCTTGCTTTTGGTTTTGCCTCATCATACAGCCCATTTTTCAATTTTAAATTTATACTTAAATTTAGGCTTCTCTTAAGGTGAAGTTGACTTTGAACAGTATAAAAATAAGGAGATGTGGTATGATTGTCAATGAGACAACTATCCTCCGAAATTCATATGTAGTGGATGTAAGCAATTATAGGCAACCGTGCGGCCTTCAACAATGAGAAAAACCCATACCGTATAGTCGGCTATAAAAGGCCCCGAAATAAAAAAATATGAGAAAACTAATGGCCTAATTTATAACAAAACAGTTTACGAAAAACAAATATGACAAACATGAACCAACAACAACCACTGAACGATGTACAGGCTCCTGACTTGGGACAGGCACATAAAGAATGTGGCGGGGTTAAACATGTTTGTGAGCGCTCAACCCTCCCCTAACCAGGGACAGTGGTGTAACAGTATAGGTTTGGCTTGTATGTTGTAACATGCTTTCCGTACCTTTTCTTGCGGCAGAACGGGGATGTTCAGTACACACATTTTTGGCGCACTGCAATTGGATGTTTTTCCCCTTTATCAATATGATTATGATCTGATATTTTAATTTCTATTTTCTAAAATATTTGCATACTTTCAACTTTATTATTTTCCTGGAGACGGTATGTTGACCTCTGGATAACTTTTGTATTTTGTGTTGTGAGGTTGCTATCTCGCTGAAGTTTATCCAGACATCTATTTTTTTTTCCTGTCAGTCTAATTTGCATTAAAAACTTTGATAAATAAAAAGTATTCCATATAGACTCTGAATGTATGGTATTCGTTCAAATTTTATTAATACTGTTATCTGAGCCCTTATTTGATGCCGATGGTCAAGAAAATGTTGCAGTTTTTCCGATTGTTTTTCGTCTTTCACCTAATATACATTTCACCTATTCCAGATTCACTTTTTTCTCATCAGCTGGCCGTGTTTGCTTTTGATAAAGGTTGGGGAGGATAACGTATAAAAGGATACACCCACAAAAATAAGTCCTGTCATTTTGCGTCAGTTAAATGCCATTTTTGAGAACTAGGAAAAGTTGTATAAATTTTGAAAGAACATGATAAAGTAACGTTCTACATACTGTAACTTAATAAATGTTTCTGAGGAAATTTATTTCAGGAAATACCCGTTCTAAATTTAAGAACGCGTTTCAAAAGCCGGTTTCAGTGATTGATGTAGTAA